CCCCGAGCCCTGAGGTGTTGTTCCCCCGAGCCCTGAGGTGTTGTTCCCCCGAGCCCTGAGGTGTTGACACTTGCCGTGTGTTGAGGGGTGTTGCTACAGGTTATGGTGCTCGTGCCTCTGCTGTGGGCGGCGGCAGAAGGGCTCGTGCGGTGTGTTGGTTGTCTTCGTGGCCAGGATCTCCTAGTCGCTGGTGGGGTTTACTGCTTCGTAGGGATCTCCAGGGTCTGGGACATACATGTACTTCATGCCGTACACCTGCCTTCTGGCCAGGTAGCTGAGCCGGGTGTTCATTGGCATAATGTTGAGTGTCTCATGGATTTTGGCGCCCACTGACCCCCAAGACATTTACATTTGTGGTGAACTCCTGGAGTTGTCATCTGCATAACAAGCTACGAGGCTTGTGATCTAAATTATTGTAATGTGTGTGTATATACACACACATTACATACCAGAAAACATTCTAATGAAACTACTCCAAGCTTGTACTAAAGAGGCACCCTTCTCTATTTGTTGATTCTGTCCAGTTTAGGTACACCTTCCCCCCCCCCCCATTAGCGTTCATAAGTTTGTGTGTTTTGCGGTTTATATACGTTTTGTCATTCATATGGTACCCAGTGCACGTACGAGGAGCCTCGTACACCACGTTGACTGGTAGCCTGTGTCCGGAAGTTACACAGTGTCCGGGCAGCTGGCAGTGTCCGTTATTGTGAACACACATGTTGCACAAGATTTGTTTTTCACAGATCTGTTTTCTGACAGGGGTGCTTCACTTCCTGGGGGGGGGGTATTCGAGGCTTAATTAAGGGGGAGGGGGGAATATATGAGGCTTGCGGGGAGTGTACGAGGCTACGCGATTTTTTTTAATTTTACTGTATTTTACTAGTATTTTACTATACTTTCTCTACCATTCTTGAATAAAGAAGTGACTTGCATATGGTCCGTCTCGAGGCACGTTTCTTTAACCATTAGTACTTTAAGTTGAACTTTATTGAAGCCTTGGGCATTAGAATCAAACCTTGCAGTGTTCTCGACTTTGTTATACAAGTGTTGCGTTCCTGGGCCACGATTCACGAAAGCACTTACGCAAATACTTACAAACGTGTACATCTTTCCTCGATCTTTGACGGCTTTGGTTTATTAAACAATTTACAAGCATGAAAACTTCCCAATCAACTGTTGTTGTTGTTATAAACAGCCTCCTGGTGCTTCAGAGCTCATTAACTGTTTAATAATTAGAAACAAAGCCGCCAAAGATTGTGAAAAGATGTACAGGTTCGTAAGTGCTTGCGTAAGTGCTTTCGTGAATCTGGTCCCCTGAGCCACTACTCAATGTGTTCTGCCACACCCAGCAGCCCTGGAGGAGCTGGGAGAGTGTCTACACTCTTCCCAGTGTCAACACTCGTGGTGTAGATTCAGATTTAATGTCCGTCCTTTTGTATGTGCACAGAAGGGGTTTGATTTTCATGATAGCTCTTGTCTGATCTGATTCCTTGTTTGGCTGCATTCAACACTTTTTTTTTAATTCCCCGAGTTTATATTATTATATGCAACTCATTTTACTAATTTGTGTAGTTCATATATATATATATATATATATATATATATATATATATATATATATATATATATATATATATATATATATATATATATATATATATATATATATATATATATGTCGTATCTAGTAGCCAGAACGCACTTCTCAGCCTACTTTGCAAGGCCCGATTTGCCTAATAAGCCAAGTTTTCATGAATTGTTTTTCGACTACCTAACCTACCTAACCTAACCTAACCTAACTTTTTCGGCTACCTAACCTAACCTATAAAGATAGGTTAGGTTGGGTTGGTTAGGTTCGGTCATATATCTACGTTAATTTTAACTCCAATAAAAAAAAAATTGACCTCATACATAATGAAATGGGTAGCTTTATCATTTCATAAGAAAAAAATAGAGAAAATATATTAATTCATGAAAACTTGGCTTATTAGTCAAATCGGGCCTTGCATAGTAGGCTGAGAAGTGCGTTCTGGCTACTAGGTACGACATATATATATATATATATATATATATATATATATATATATATATATATGTGTACATATATATATATATATATATATATATATATATATATATATATATATATATATATATATATATATATATATATATATATATATATATATATATATATATATATATATATATATATAATGTATTAATAATTATTATTTATGTGTGTGTGTGTGTGTGTAACTACACCTAAGTGTAGTTACAGGATGAGAGCTACGCTCGTGGTGTCCCGTCTTCCCAGTACTCTTTGTCATATAACGCTTTGAAACTACTGACGGTTTTGGCCTCCACCACCACCACCTCACTTAACTTGTTCCAACCATCTACCACTGTTTGCGAAAGAAAATTTTCTATTTTTTTTTCGGTATGTCTGTTTCTTTAGCTTGACTCTGTATCCTCTTGTTCGTGAAGTTGCTCGTTTCATGAATTTATTTTGGTCTATTCCTGTTTGTATTTTGTAAGTGGTGATCATATCGCCTTCTAGTTTTGGCATGTTTAACGCCTTTAATCTCCCCTCATAACAATCTTGTTTTTCAGCTTCGGAAACCATTTTATAGCATGCCGCTGCACTTTTTTTTCAGTTTATTGATGTGCTTCTTGAGATTTGGGCACCATACAACTGCTGTATATTCCAATTTTGGTCTCACAAAAGTCATGAACATTTTCTTTAATATTTCACCATCCATATAATTAAAAGGAAGTATGAAGTTGGAAAGCGACGCATACGCTCCTCTCACAATGTTCTAGTGTTTTCCACTGGCGACAGCTTACTATCCAAAAGCACCCTGTAAGTCTCGTTCTTTATTTGAGTTCTGTAATTTCTTTACACATAATTTGTAAGTTGTGTATGTGGTCCATTTTCTCCGATTCCACATTCCATAGCATGGCATTTATTCACATTGAATTCCATTTGCCACTTGACGCTCCAAGCACTTATTTGGTCTAGATCAATTTGAAGGGCATGACAATCGTCTGCGTCTCCTATCTTCCCCAGTATCTTAGCATCATCCTCAAACATGTTCATATAATTCTGTATACCTTCTGGTAGATCGTTTATGTAGACGATGAACATTACTGGTGCAAGAACTAAACCCTGTGGTACTCCACTAGTAACACTCCTCCAGTCAGTCAGTTTGTGTGTATATATATATGTGTATGTTAGCGCACATACATGTGTACACGTGTATGTACACATACTCACACATGTTTGTGTGTGTGTACACACACACATTCCCTGCAGGTAACACAAAATATGCCATTAATTAAGGTGCCGTTGGATCATATCTTTTCGGGTGGGATCAATAACAACTCTAGTGACGACCCTTCCCGCGCCGCCACCAGATCCCGCCAAAATTTCCCACGCTCTTCCGGAGTTTTCCCGCCAATTTTCCATCCGGTTTTCCCCGCCAATTCCCCTTAACAAGGTTGTTCCCCAAAACCCCTTGCAGCCTTCACCACCGGTACCTCAACCCCCCCCCCCTCCCCACCCCACCTCACGCCACACCTGTACCTCATGCCACACCTGTCCCCCCCACCCCCCACTGCCCCGGGCGTACAGGCGTAGCCTCGCGTTTACATCCCTGTCAGTCGCGCGCCTTAACACTGCAGAACTTTATGACAATAGTATTGTAGTAGTTACCATTGTTTTTTTATAATTTTATTAAGCAATTACGGTTGTTGGGGGACAGGAAGCCTGTGGCTATGCCTAGTGAGGACCCTTAGGTCAATTACCGACCTTCCCCCAAGATGCAGCCCATTACAGATGCCTAAGTCTTGGGGTACCTATTTCACTGCTGGGTGAACAGTGTCATCAGGTGAAACATGCCCAAACCTTTTTTATCCTGTTTTGTAGGCTAAACCCGGGTCCCGCGATTGTGAGCCGAGGAAATAGACCACTGTGCTACAAATAAACACTATTTCTTGTTTTAAGTAAACCAATGATGAACGTACAAACATTACTGAATAAAGTTACGCTGTGTCTTGTATTTGTCTTATTTTCTTGTTGTGGTTGTCATTTTACACGTTTATGTTCATGATTTATCTTCCAGGATATTTATATTGTTATTAAGTTTTCAGTTGCATATAGTCCTGGGGACCATTCAGGCTTGTTCGCATTTATATTGTTATAAATCATGTTTTATGTTCCAGGATAGTGCTTGCAGTCAAGTGGTATATGATAGCGACACGCGGCCACGTACGCGGCCAGGCACGCACGTACGCGGCCAGGCACGCACGTACGCGGCCAGGCACGCACGTACGCGGCCAGGTGCACAAAGGGACACAATCCAGACATGGACAGGGGGAGGGAACGGCAAGAATCAAAATCAGACGACAGGGACAGGTTCACACAAGCACAGACTCTTTAACGATCCATTTTCATTATTTTACTTCAATGTGAACTCTGGCATTTGTTGTAAATATGTAAAGGAAACGGTGGGGGAGATATGAGATACGAACGGATGCCAGCGTCTTGGAGACGTGAGATGTGCCATGAGGGAGAGAGGGAGGGAGGGAGGGAAGGTAGATATTTATTTAGATCTAAATAGTTTTAAACGAAATAATTTATATATCTAAATAGATATGTATTTGTATTGAGGGGGAGAGATTTATTTAGAGATGAATATTTAGTTTTCAGTGATGAGGAGCCGGTCGGCCGAGCGGACAGCGCGCGGGACTTGTGATCCTGGGTTCGATCCCAGGCGCCGGCAAGAAACAATGGGCAGAGTTTCTTTCACCCTATGCCCCTGTTACCTAGCAGTAAAATAGGTACCTGGGTGTTAGTCAGCTGTCACGGGCTGCTTCCTGGGGGTGGAGGCCTGGTCGAGGACCGGGCCGCGGGGACACTAAAAAAGCCCCGAAATCATCTCCGAGATAACCTCAAGATGTGTGTGTGTTTGGGAGGCCGCTTCACACTTCTTGATAGTAGGTGAAGTGTGAGTGAAGGGTTTGTTCTCCTCGATGACTGCACCAAGAAATCTTGGAACAAAATGTTCCAAGTAGCACGGGCTATGGTGAACCCGTATCTGTGTTTAGCTGTTAGTGGCGCCAGGTATAAATGTGTCGCGGGTCAGATGTGACACAATTTGTTGGTAGACTGGAGATATTAAGGCAGTGCTTTGGCTCTTTGGTATTTTTCCTGTAACGAGTGGTCGCCTCCTAATATATGCTCGATGGTAAAGGGTATTTTAAGTGCGATAAGTACTTGTTTGAAATTTACTCTGGCACTGTGATGTCGGAAGCAGTGAAGTGTTTCTTTCAAGAAATCTTAACGCCACAACAATGGCAGTTAGCTCTGCTTGCGTTGATGAGGCATAGTTCTCAATACGCGCTTTTTCTTCATTTCCGCGTTTTGAAAGGCATTATTCCTAATTACAGTGTATGCTGCATAACCCGTGCCATGGTAGGATTAGATGACCCATCAGTGTAGATTTGATCTAATTCATTTCCGGCTATTTTTATATATTTCCTCAAGAGACTTGTGCCTCATTTCTTGTGGTATCATGTTGGACTTTTGTCATTGGCATCTCGTTGATGATAATCTTTACTACAGGCGCCATCAGTTACTTATTCCAGGGCTTCACGGTTGTCGCCTGCGTGTATACATGGCTGCTGTATATTGTATAATTGGCTGTTGTATATTGTACTCGTGGCTGTTGTATATTGTATACATGGCTGTTGTACTCTCCGGTACAGAGCTTGGTGTTTCTAGCCGTGTATGTAGTATATAGTAATTATTATTATTACCAGTTATTCTCCACATCTTAGTGTCAGTTACTGTTGGAAGTTTTCAGACGTCATGCGAGGCGACGCTACTGGTCCGGATGTCCCCGGGGCGCACTAGAAGGGGGGACTAGCAGCTATTTCCCGCTCACGTATCACTAGTTGAGCAACTTTTACGATTTTGCTCCCCCCCTACACGGACCCAGCCTGTGCTGCTGCTGCTGCTAGCACAGCCCGTTTTTGTTCCCAACGTCAACAAACTGTCGTATTAAAATGTCCTATCTTAACCTACCAGAGGATCCACCAATAGAAAACAGGACATTTCGTGGACCGCTATTATTTTCGTGTAGATCAGTTTTTGGCCTTGGGTAAAGTATACGTCAAAATGTGTGGTGCTATAACGAGAACAAGTTGTGCAAGACGTGAGAATACTTAGCGTGTAGGAAGAGCACTTACTCCGGGGTGTCCGACGAGCTGGCGTCATCAGAGAGTATACACCGGAAGCCTCAACACGGACGCTGCCCACGCCTCGTATACAAGTATAATTTGTCATTCTCGGTGACCCACTATGTATATTGTTGTTCTGCACTTGTCTATCAGTGTCTACGGGGGAGCGAGGTCTGGATCTTTATGCCCCGCCCACTAACTTGGCATCTGACAGCTTCACATACTTCACAGATGGATCACTAGACGAGAACTGCTGTTGGAATCTTGGCAACAAGAACATATACGTGACCACATCCATCTGACCACAAATGGCATAGCATTAATGCAAACACTCAAGCGTCAAGGCCGTCCGGCACTTACCAACTGGGTGCCAAGTCATGTGGGAATAATAGGGAATGACATTGCAGATGAAGCTGCAAAACTTGTAACTAAGAGAAGAAATGTAGACATTTACAAATCACAGAGTTTAACACAGATTAAGAAAGTAATTAGAGCAATGCAGAAGATGTAGTGACCACAATTCAGCAGCTGCAACCTCTTTGTGAGATGTTACTACGGGAGTCACTGCAAACACACAGGCAATCACGCTGGGAAGCCAGATGTGAAATTTGTGATCCAGAATGTGAGAGGTGTGAGCAAAACGCCAAGGCTCTGGTACTTGAGGTAGAGATGAAGATCCAGACGGTCTTCACTTCCACAAGCAATACCAGAGCTCTCCTCACTTGGGTCGTTCACTCTGCAACTCGCTTGCAAGGAGTCTAGCAGGTAGTGGATGGATCCTCGCACCGAATTTATATTATTCAGTGATTGTGGTTAGGGGCTGGAACCCGAGCCAATACTTGGGGTTAGGGGCTGGAACCCGAGCCAATACTTGGGGTTAGGGGCTGGAACCCGAGCCAATACTTGGGGTTAGGGGCTGGAACCCGAGCCAATACCTGCCGAGTTATAATTTCATTATTCTGACGTTTAAATTTTTTGTTGAATCTGGCCTTAAAGTTATAGATGGAGGTGGCTTCCACAACTCCTTTTTCAGTGCATTCCACTTGACTATCCGTACAGAGTATGAGTATTTCCTTACATTCCTTCGGCTCATTTGCGTTTCCAGTTTCTACTTGTGTACTCTGGTCCTGCTATTTGCCCTCAGTATCTTGTATGTTGTGATCATATTATATAGCACAGGTACTAATACATATGTGGGTACTGGTGTGGAGGGAGCTATGGCCAGAGCCTCCTGTGGTCCCGCCACACCTTTTGTTTAGTATTTTGAACAATTTATCTCTACAACCGAACCAGGAATGTTTACTTTTAGTGCAAAGATGAGCTTCCATCACTAATGAGGGTAGCGGGCGTGTTGTGCCTTCCGGCGGCACCAGTTTACACACATTATTAAACTACTTCATACTTTTTAGGACGACGCGGTCACACTGCATTATCTGGACACGTTGTGAACGGGGTCCTTCCCACCCACAACTACGCAGGAGGAAGCTCTAATCACCTTGCATCGTTCAGAATGGTCAGCGGCGGCCAGCTGGGCAAATCACAGGCGGGTCTAAACATGGCTGCCTCCACCACCCAACTTCGAGGCATCACGAAGGGAAAGATTTTTTAACTGAAGCTAATGAATAGTGAGGCCCCAGGGCATTTATGATGGTAAGACTTCAACGGGGAAGACAATTCCACATAAAAACAGTGCTATGAGATGCTGTTTTCAGCGACATGGCCACAAAAGTCATTGGTCTTCGGTCACATGTGGGTAAAACTACATACTGGGCTAGCTTTCTAAGTGTCCAGAACTCGAGTCTTGCTAACCAGGGAGTATTGTCTCAGATCTGGTTTAAAGGAGTTAAAGTGTTGCCGACAGTCGTGAGCTGTGAGCCGTAAAAACCCAGCTGCTTCACAAGTATCCAGCCAGGTGAGGGAGACGCAGCATTCTCTCACGCTCCAGTGTTTATACTTACACACACACACCTCCGTCCCCGTAGCAATTAGCCCAAGGAGATGTCTGGGCTGAAGCAGGTTGAGGGAAAGCGTGGGTAGCATGTTGCTCGTCTGCGCGCGTCCAGGCGTGGGCTGGTGCGTCACGGTAGCAAGTTCAAGTATGCTTATTGAGACAAGAAAATACATCTCAAAGGAATAGAGAGTAACTTAGGCTATTTCTATCCCCATCCTAACGTCGCGGTAGCAAGTGGCTAGTGTGCGTGTGCATCAATGCGTGTATAGGCGAGGAAGATTGGTGAAGATTAAGCCAGCCTAGAGGTGGCATGAGTAGCCTGAATGTGAGGAAGTCTTTCACCTGGCTGATGTAGGCTGCCTCACGTTTACACACACTCATGTGCCGTGCACCCGCTACCTCATGATCCGAAATAATGTGAGTGTGTGAGCAGTATGCTCCAGCTATGTGGTGGGGAACTGCCATGTGTTGCGCTTCAGCTCCTGGTCTCACCAGTGGCCAGTCTTCAGTACAGAGGAGTGTGCAGATGCTGGTAAGGAAAGACAAGTATTAGTGAGTTGGGCGCGTGCTCGTGCGCGCACACTATTTAGAATCTCTTTAATTGACATTTATAAAATATGCTCACACTTTGTATTGGCTTGTAATGGGTTTATTTGACCGTTATGTTTTCCCCTGACATTTCAGGAACATGATGAAGAAGCCTGAGGCGCCAGCAAGGGTTCCTGAAGCCTGAGGCGCCAGCAAGGGTTCCTGAAGCCTGAGGCGCCAGCAAGGGTTCCTGAAGCCTGAGGTGCCAGCAAGGGTTCCTGAAGCCTGAGGCGCCAGCAAGGGTTCATGAAGCCTGAGGTGCCAGCAAGGGTTCCTGAAGCCTGAGGTGCCAGCAAGGGTTCCTGAAGCCTGAGGCGCCAGCAAGGGTTCCTGAAGCCTGAGGCGCCAGCAAGGGTTCCTGAAGCCTGAGGTGCCAGCAAGGGTTCATGAAGCCTGAGGCGCCAGCAAGGGTTCCTGAAGCCTGAGGTGCCAGCAAGGGTTCCTGAAGCCTGAGGCGCCAGCAAGGGTTCCTGAAGCCCGAGCCCTGAATAGGATCTCCCTAAAATCAGATGATGTCTTCAAACTACTTGTAACCATAGACTGACTCTTCTCAACTTGGTGTAGGATACACATTCCGGCTCCAGTGTTTGGTTGCCCTAAAGTTGGATTCAGATCGTTGCTTTATCTTAAGAACCCTGGGTGTGATATTAAACCCTAGCTGCTTCGTCTAAGGAAAAAAACCTCTCTTCTGCAATTAATCCAAATTTATTATTATAGAAAAGTGGCAATTGTAGGCTTTTGGGTTGTTCTAGTGCTCGTTGACCCTTCAAGCATGAGTATAGTAGTATATCGGAACCTCTTTAATTGCCAGAGTGCTCTAGTGGCCGCTGCTCCATTGCGTCAGGCGGGAATTTAACCCTTGGAGGCCGCCGCCATATTGTCGTGACCCATTCTCTAAATTTCCAGTAGTTTCAGAAATGTGTAAATCCTGGTTGGTCTCTTTAAGATAACTGTGATCTTTCATTTGATCCTCCTCCTTATATCCGGGACTTTGTTCTAGGAACAGGTTCCAGTTTCCTGTGAAACTTTCGTAAATACGACTCCTGGGTCTTCGCTGAGCTAAACACACACAGTAGTGCGTACAGTTTCTTCATTCCTAGAATCTTTCAAGTCTAGCAAGTATTTAGTGGAGTTCCTGAACAAAGTGGTTCTCACCCCTGGATTAAGTAGCTTAACTTTGTTTCTTATTATCCCAAGATTTCCCAGTTCCAGTGCTTTCTTAAGATTGCTAGCTCCTTAGCTGGTATTATCCCAAGATTCATAGTACCTGCATAAGTGCTACTCCAAGTTTCCTAACTCGTAGGCTGGTACTATTAGATTGAACTTAGCAAGTGGACTTGAGGCTGTCCCGGCAATTTGAGCTACAGGTTTTATGTTATATAATCAGTCACAATACCTGGACTGGTGGTACCAAAGTTGTCGCAGCACTTAGGCTGAGGCTATATTATTACTACTAGAACCTGGGGATCCTATCGCCTGGTGTGGGCTGTTGATTTGTAATACACCCAGCATTTGGAGTGGGGGTTATACCGAGGGTGTCTGCATCGAGGCGCGTCACTACCTCGGGAGTTGCAGCGTCGTGACATCTCGAGGATGAGTGTGGAGGGTGAGACAACGGCGCTCTTGGGGTATGGGCGAGGCGGCCCCCCAAGGCTCACTGAAATTCCTCGCACCCCGCCCAGGAGTGTCTTCGAGGCCCCGGACACCTCCCTCCTCCAGAGCAAGGTCAGTAACTAAAGCAAGACTTGACTGGTAGAGCTGACAACACTTAGTGCAGCCTGTTTAGGGACGTCGACACGTAGTGTAGCGTGCTTGGGGACGTCGACGCTTAGTGTAGCGTGCTTGGGGACGTCGACGCTTAGTGTAGCGTGCTTGGGGACGTCGACGCGTAGTGTAGCGTGCTTGGGGACGTCGACGCGTAGTGTAGCGTGCTTGGGGACGTCGACGCGTAGTGTAGCGTGCTTGGGGACGTCGACGCGTAGTGTAGCGTGCTTGGGGACGTCGACGCGTAGTGTAGCGTGCTTGGGGACGTCGACGCGTAGTGTAGCGTGCTTGGGGACGTCGACGCGTAGTGTAGCGTGCTTGGGGACGTCGACGCGTAGTGTAGCGTGCTTGGGGACGTCGACGCGTAGTGTAGCGTGCTTGGGGACGTCGACGCGTAGTGTAGCGTGAATGGGGACGTCGACGCGTAGTGTAGCGTGCTTGGGGACGTTTCACAAGACAGTTGGACTTCAGGAAAAAGTTCCCGTCTGGTAAAATATTAAGATCTTTCATACAAATAGTCAAAACTAGGAAACAAACAACTAACTTAAGCCATAGAAAACCAGATAATCTGAGAGAGGAAGTGGTTGTAAATTTACAAGAGGTCAAATGTTTGTTCTACTCACTGGTCAGTCTGTCTGAAGGTTGGTGGAGGTGTGTACTGATCCTGCAGTAGTGACAGGTTTATTTCTCTTGTTAGACTGTTTCAGTCTGCAGCGTTTATGTCGTTGTTCTGTAGTAGTGGAAGAATTTGATGGCGAGTGGAAGCAGTCGAGAATACAGCTTTCTCTTGTGTAGACAATGGTTAGCTTTCCTCAGACCCAGTTACATCTATGTACACATATCATACATATAATACTAATAATCATAATTTTTCTTTGCACAATGAAGTCACATTAATGTAATGGATCAATGAGAAAATTAGTAGGAGCCATGAAGAGGATTCGAAGGGAGTGCATGGGGGGAGGGGGGAAGGGGACAGCTCTTAACCCCCCCTCCCCCCGATTGGATTTCAGTTTTATGCCTCATGAATCCTAGAGGGTTCAGTAGAATCCCAGGTGGCATTGCTTTTGACCTTGTCGTGACGTGGTGGTCTAGGGGGCGCTGGCTTGGATTCGAACGAAGCGAGCGGGTTCGAATGCTACTCTTGGCTCCTACTGATTTTCACAATAATTTGAATTCTAAAAGTGTGCACGAAAAGAACGGCAATACTCAATGTTTTGTTTTAGTAACATCTGTGTCTTCACTAGCTGGCTATGTGTGTCCCTCCCTCCCTCGCCCTCCTTCCCTACTCGCCCTCCTTCCTCAAACCCTGCCCTCCCGCCATCCTTCCTCGCCCGCCATCCTTCCTGCCCGCCATCCCTCTTCGCCCGCCATCCCCCAAATCTAGCCCTCCCTCCCTCCGTCCCTCCCTCCCTGGTGGGCCGTCATGTGATGGATGGGTGTGCCAGCAGGGACCGGGGCCGCCGCCGCCGCCGCCAGGGATCGGGATGGCGACAGCAGTGTGTTACATCCTGGGAGTGTTTGGGGTCGTGCCCGTCGTCTCCCTGCCCGGCGCCATTGCTTACTGTGGTGAGTCTTACGCCCTTCCTACTACACATACTCACTCTCCCACCCCCCCTCCTTCATATGATATTACATGCATATATATATAAATAAACAAACGCAAATTGTTGATTTATATTTTGATTTTACAGGTTGGTTTGGGTTCGTAGTGTTCGGGGTGCTGGTGCTGGTGCAGGTGTACACGGCCGTGCTGCTGGGGAAGTGTTGGCTCTTCCTGGAGATGTTCTGGCCCAGGGAGGCCATCTTACAACGTCGGTACGCTTACTCTCCCATGCTATGTTGTACTATTGTATCCACAACCCCTCTATCTAATGTATGTATGTGTTTAAGATTCTGGTTTAGTATCTGTATAGTTATCTAATTAATGATGATGGTAATTTAATATTTTTAC